GTCTAATAGTTTATCAATTTAAAATGTCCCTTTTATCTAGTAATAGTTTTGCTTAAAGTCTGTTTTGTTTGATATTAGTATATGGTCAGTTTAGATTTCTTGTGGTTGCTGTTTAAATGATACATGTTTTTCTTTCAGTTCAGTTGTATTTCTGAATTTAAATTGTGTATCCTATAGACAGCACATAGTTGGATCTTTTTAAAAACCCATTCTCAGCTGAAATTGGACCCATACCTTTCACCATTGACAAAAATTGACTCTCACTGGATAAAAGATTGAAATTTAAGATTCAATTGGCAGTTGCAGCAATACCAAAAATAAATAAATGGGCCATGATAAAGCTAAAAGGGTTCCGCACATTTAAGAGTACCATGTCTAAAGCAAACAGACAACCTTCAGAATGGGAGAAGGTATTTGCATGCTATAAATCTGACCAAGAGTTGGTACCTAGAGAACTCAATCAACAAGAACAGAATAATCTCACTTATAAGTTGGCAAGAGATTTGAACAGAAACTTTTCTGAAGATAAACGGATGAATGAGCAAGACACTCATGAAAAAATGCTCATCATCCCTGACTATAAGAGAAATGCAAATCAAAACAACTCTTGAGATATGAGAAAAAATGCTTATCATCCTTGACCATAAGAGAAATGCAAATCAGAACAACTCTTGAGATATCACCTGAGTACAGTGAGATTAGCCTATACCACAAATCCTGAATCTGCAGATGCTGGCATGGATGTGGAGAAAAGGGAACACTTTTGGACCGCCAGTGGGATTGCAAACTAACTCAACCTCTATGGAAAGAAGTATGGAGCATTCTCAAAGAATGAAAAGTTGACCTTCCATTTGATCCTGCAATCTCATTACTAGGTATCTACCCGGAAGAACAAAAATCATTTTACCACCAAGACATTTGCACTAGAATGTTTATTGTAGCTCAGTTCATTGCCAAGATGTAGAAGCAATCCAAGAACCCATCAACCCATGAACAGATTAACAAACTGTAATGTATATATACCATGGAGTACCTATATTCAACCATAAGAAAAGATGGAGACTTCACACCATTTGCTTTTACCTGGATGGAGTTGAAACATATTCTTCTTAGTAAAGTATCTTAACAATGGGGGAAAAAGTATCCAATGTACTCAATACTAATATCAAACCAATACACTACACATGCACACACACATATGCAGGAGCACAAAAAAAAAAAAATCCAAGTATAGTGTAGCAAGGGAGAGGGGAGAGAAGGGAGGATGATTGGCGGGATCTCACCTAATGTGCACAACATGAGAGTGTTCAGCATGCCCCCTGGGTGAAGGGCTCAACTACAACTTGAACTTTACCTTAGAATTGAAAACAACATAACCTCAACATTTGTACCTTCATATTAATCTGAAATTAAAAATAAGTAGATGAAAGAAAAAATACAAGAAAAATACGTCATTGAAAAAAAAAAATCCAGTCTCAGTTATTGTTTTTTCATTTGGTTGTTTAGTCCATTCACATTTAATGTTATTGTTCCTACGGTTGGAATTATATCTGCCACCCCTATCCCCCCCACCCCATGAATCTTTTGTTCCTGTAGTTCTTTGTTACTGCTTTTGGATTATGTGATATTTTCTTTTCTTTCTCCTTTCCTCCCTCTGAGTCTCACTAAGTTGCCCTTGGTAGAGTGCCGTGGTGTCACAGCCCACAGCAACCTCAAACTCTTGGGCTTAAGTGATTCTCTTGCATCAGCCTCCCGAGTAGCTGGGACTACAGGCACCCCCAATAGTGCCCGGCCTTTTTTGTTGTTACTGTTGTAGTTGTCATTGTTGTTTAGCAGTCCCAGGCCGGATTTGAACCCACCAGCCCTGGTGTATGTGGCCAGCACCCTTCCTACCGTGCTTTGGGTGCCGAGCCTATGTGTTACTTTCTAACATGGCATTCTAACTTCCTTAATGATCTTTTCAGTATATCTTTTTCAGGATCTTTTAGTGGTCGTTCTAGGGCTTAACATATACATCTTAACCTAATTAAAGTCAGCTTCAGATTTACACTGATTTATTAAATAATTCCTGTGAGATACAGAAATGTTACTCTTCTGTAGTTCTATTCCTTTTTCTTTTTATGTGGTATTGTTATACACATTACCTCTGTGAATGATACAAACCCAATAATCTGATGCTACAGTTACTACTTTATATAATTGTATGGACTTATTTATTTATTTTTTGACACAGAGTCTTGCTCTATCTCCTAGGCTCACAGCAACCTCAAACTCCTGGGCTCAGTGATTCTCCTGCCTCAGCCTCCTGAGTAGCTGAGACTATAGGCGAGCACCACCATGCTAATTTTCTCTAATTTTAGTAGGGACTGGTGTCATTCTTGTTCAGAGTGGTCTTGAACTATTGAGCTCAAGAGATACTCTTGCTTTGGCCTCTCAGTGCTAGGATTACAGGTGTGAGCCACTGTGCCTGGCTAATTGTATGACTTTTAAAGTAGCTAAGAAAAGAAGAGAGAGCAAGCAAGTATTTTTAAATTTGGGATGAGCATCCTCAACTTGGAAATCTGAAATACTCCCAAATTAAAAACGTTTTTGAGTACCGACAAGATGCTCAAAGGAAATGCTCATTGGAGCATTTCAGATTTTGGATATTTTGATTTGGGATGCTCAGTCAGTAAATACAATACAGATAGAAAAATTGGAAAAAAAGCTGAAATCTGAAACTTAGTCCCAGGCATTTCAGAAAGGTTCTTCAACCTGTCTAGACTTGGTACACTTAATTGGTGTGCTTGATTTCCTACATTTCTATGAGGCACCATTTGTTTTTCTTTCTGTTCTCCATATTGCATAATCTCTATCCATCTGTCTTCAAGTTTGCTATTCTTCTGCCAGATTACATCTATCATTGAACCCCTCTAGTGAATTTTTCATTTCAGTTACTCTACTTTTCAACTTCAGAATTTCCATATGGTTCTTTTTAATACTTTCTCTCTAGTAGTAATTTTTAAATGACATGCATCTATCCCACCATTTGAAACTAGGAGCAAGAAGTAAGCCCCACCTCCCAGCTCCACTTCCCTGAAACTTAGCCTTGGGAAAAAGTAGCTAGAGACTGACTGTTATATCAAATACGATCAGAAATTTTTTGAAACTAAGAAAGTCTTTAGGAATATATCCAAAAGAAAAGAAAACATGTCCATATAAAAACCTGCTCATGTATATTCATAATTCATAGCAGCAGCATTCGTAGTAGCTATGAAATAGAATGCCAAATGTCCAACTGATGAACAGATGAACAAAATGAGTTATACTGTATAATGGCCCAATATTTAGCAATTAAAGCAAAATGAAATATTAATACAAGCTGTAATATGGGTGAACCTTGGAAACATTATGGTAAGTGAAAGAGACCATTAATATTGAATGTCCAGAATAGGCAAATCTGTATAGACAGAACATAGATTTGTGGTTGCCTAGGGCTAGGTAGGATGTGTGAGGTTGGAAGTGGAGAGTGTTTAATGCAATGATTATGGGTTTATTTTGGGGGGCTGATAAAAATGTTTTAAACTTAGGTTGTAATGATGGTTGCACACGTATGTAAACAATACTAAAAACCATTGTATTGATGCTAAAAGAGAAAGTTTAGACACCTTTGTCATCTTTTAAATTTTATAAGACACATCTTTTTTAGGGGGGGGGACAGTCTCAAGCTGTCACCCTGGGTAGAGTGGTATGGCGTCATAGCTCACAGCAACCTCCAACTCGGGCTCAAGTGATCCTCTTGCCTCAGTTTTTCTATTTTTAGTAGAGACAGGGTATTGCTTTTGCTCTGGCTGGTCTCGAACTAGTGAACTTAAGCAATCCACCCACCTTGGCCTCCCAGAGTGCCAGGATCACAGGCGTGAGGCACTGCACCTGGCCTACACATCTGTTTTTATATTAATATATTTATTAGGCCAAACTTGAAGGGCTTTTGGGATCATAGAAGTCATAAGAGGGTCCTATTTTGTAATCTCAGTGGGAAATGATATGTATGTGTGATCTAATATAATTTTTCACAGACTCAAAGACGTTTTTAATTCTGTACTATTTATTGATAAGTTATTTTAAGTGTATTATAAACTTATTGGAAGTTTTAAAGTTTGTGATACCTTTTATTTCTTGTGTTGTAGTTAAGTTCTCCGATTTCAAAGATTTCCCCTTTTACTCTTTTTAAAAATTACTTAGCAAGTTTACTAATAGTGTTATTAATTTGTACATCAGAAACCACTGAGTTGAAAAGCGTGGTTCTGTGAATATAATCATTTTCAATCATGTCTTTTCAAATATTTTGGCATAGATATTTAGGACATATGGTTATATTTAACTTTATGCTTTTCCTCTTGATTGGTCTCCTACTCCCTCTTTCCATAAAGAAAAAAAATGTTTGTTTTATTGGTGGTCCTCTTTTGCTAGATATTTATGGTAACTATTTTGTCTCTGTTTATTTCTTAGAAGGGCATTTCGCTAATGCTTTTGTCTTTTTTTCGTATTCTTAAAAAAGAGGCAAGGTATTGTTTCCTCAAATTTTGTTTGTCATCTTAAGTTCTCACTGAAGATTAGGTTCTTTTTGCCCGATAAATTGTTTCCAAAGTAAAAGTAGGCATGAATATCAAAATAAACTTCAATCTGAGTGCATGTGAGATCAAAAACCTATTGTTTTTCAAATTCTTTTTCTTTTTAATAAGTTGTAATACTCTAAAAACCATTTAAAAGTAAGTTTCTGGGAGAAAGGTTACTTAAAAATGTTTTAAAATATTTATTTCATAACAAAGAAAAGTGGATTCCAAAATCTTTTTTTGGCAATTATAAAATTTTTCTAAAAGGAATAGAGTAGGCATAATTTCTCAGAACAGATTAAATAAATTTAAATGTGAATAATAGAATGAATTAATAAAATACATTTAAATATGATTAAGAAAATCATCATGTGATATATTGGATTATCCCCCCTTCTCTTTCAGGAACTCTTGGTGTAATAACAGAAGCGACAATAAAAATCAGACCAGTCCCCGAATACCAAAAGTACGGCTCTGTAGCTTTCCCTAATTTTGAACAAGGAGTAGCCTGTTTAAGAGAAATTGCAAAACAGGTAAAATAATAAAAATAAAAAGAAGATCTATATATGTATATATGTACACATGTTTTATTTTTACAATTCTGTATAATTGTGGTATGTTACAAATCATTTTCATGTTTGGTTGAGTTGCATTTGTGGTTTTTACCCATCTGTCTATGAAAAGATAGTGTTGTAAAATCGTCCCTTTAAGTGCAGTTGCTATTTCTTTCAGTATCTATCCCACCTGTGTCTTGGTCCAAAGAGGGCTGCATGATTTTAAGCCAAAGTAGGATATGTACTTGGATTGATGGCTTTAAATTACTCTGCTTTTCATCAAATGTTATGTTTCTTAAGTTACTTTGGGATAAGATATTTCATGATTAATTAAAGTGATATTTAATTTGTCTTAAGGCAGTTATTGAAATTAAAAGTAATGACTGAATATCAATGATCCAAAAATTTATATATTAAATATAGATAATGAAACTTTATCAATTCATAGAATGTGCTGCTACTAGGCTCCACTTTGTTTTATAAAGTTATCTAAGCCATAGCTTAAATTAATTAATATAATAAGTTAAAAAGAATGTACATTTTCTTCTTCTTTCTTAGAAAAAGGATATCAGGTTGTTTTAAAAAGACTAGATAATGCCAAGTAATTTTAATTATGTGTTTATTAATGTGGAAATCTCTGTATTTCTTTAGGCATTTGGTATGTTATTTGAACTGCAGTGGTTTATGAGTAATTCTTATTTCAACATTTCCCTGCAGGGAGGAAGTCAAAGGAGTATACTCTAGAGTCTGTCTTCTTGCTTGTTCCAAATTCCTAGGGTTCTTTAATATGTCCTTTCAGCTCTGCCCAAGTAGAATCTTGAGGACAAGACAGCTTTTTGATATGAGCCCCACAGGTCAGCTTCTTAGTATTTAGAGCAGGTAGAGGAAGAATCTGATGAGGCAAGGGAAAAATACTAGCAAGTACTCCATATTCATCTTGGACTTTATGAGGTACTGAAATGGAAAGTGATGAAAAGTCTCATCTTCCCACCATCCCAAGGCAACCACTACTGATGTTTTAAATTAAAAATGAGAAAAATAATTATACAATATTTATTCATGTATATACTATTTCCCTTACTCTTTATTGCACATACTCAGTTTTGTTTCCTGAGACACTCATTCTGATAGTTTCTGCCTTGAAGGAGTCTGTCTAGCTATATGATTATCTAATATAACAATTGACAAAGTGACTTTTATAATCTTCAGGTAGCTTCAGTTACTTATCAGTTAAATTGCTAGACTACAACGGACCCCTTAATCTTGATTAATTATCTACTTGGGGGTAGGGAGAGGACTTTATAGAAAGAAGTATGCTCCTGGCATGAACATTTTTGGACTTGTGGCAAATTACTTTGATAATGTTAAAAGCAGAAATGAATAATTACCAATTGAAATCTTTACGTAAGAACTCCTAATCACCAGAACTTAGGGGATATTCTGCTATGGTTAGGGAGCTAGAGTATGTAGTGTTATACCATGTTTGCTAAAATGATGAAATGACAGTAATATTTTGAGCAAGATTATTAAGTAAAGGAAGGTAGTGATATGTTTTTGTAGTAAATAATATTTTGTTTTATTAAAATAACATCTGAGCACTGAGCAGTGAAGTTCAAGTGTATACTGACACTGTTTCTAAAACCTTCCCTTACTCAAAGGTAGAGGAAGGTAGCTTCAAATTAAGATAACCCAGGTATTAAGAAGTAATAACTATTTGCAGTGCCTTACAGTTTTGCATGTTCCCTAGAAGAAAGGGAAGCTAGCCTTTTTTTTTTTTAAGAAAATAGCCAGAAGGTCACCAATTTAAAAATAAAAACAAGTGTTTCTATAAACAAATTATATTTTCTTGTTAACTTTAGATATTTCTTAATGAGTGTTTTTTTATTCAGGTGTTTTTACTTTGTATTGTAATTTATACTTTGTTAAATACTTTTATTTTTCCTCATTGTCAAGCTTAACTATTTTCCCTCAAGAAAACTTTATTAAAAATATATAGTTCATATCACCTCTTATTAGCGTTTTGAATAATATATTTCTAATTAACCATTTATTACCTCCAATTTTATGAGAAAATAAACATGAATTCTAAAACATAGATTTTTTTTAAAAATTAAGGAAGTTATAAAAGTAGTTTTGGTTTATTTACTTATTTTCCAACAAAAGAGCTTAATGAGGTCAATATTCAGTCTACGTTGGGCAAATCTACTCTTTCATAATATTGCTTCTTTATAGAACATAGATGTAGAAGACTCACTAAAAAGCGTTGTTCATCTTTGGAGTAAACATGTGCATAGTTTGTGTTTTCCTAAGTGCTCCGTCTGCTTTTCCACCTTGCAAATACTAAAATCATCGTAGCTTTCATTAATCAGAAGTAATGTCCCTATGTATCAAAATCTAGTTTTATAATTTCATTAGAATGGAAATGTTGGATTTAAACAGAAATAGTTGATACAGTTCTTGTTACAATTTGATATGCCCCTGATAGAATGTGACCTGTGCCAGTGAAAACCAGGGAATGGAATTTTCCTTCATCCTTGCATAAATTAGTAAAACGTGCCTATATTATAGTAACTTAAAAAATTCCTTGGGATCTTCACTCCGTGACTATAATCCAAATTCACTACATAGAACTATGTTGGGTATATGTCTGGAATAAATAAAAATAACGATTGACAGAAAGTGCCTCTGTGTGGTTGAAAAGAGGTTAAAAAGAAAGCTGCTTTCTAGTCTATAGTTATGATGTTTGATTCTGCATACTTAGCAATGGACAATTTTTAGAGACATAAATACTATGGACCAGAAAGCTTGTCTTACTTGAAACTAATTAAAAAGTCTAGATAGATAATACAGTATTCTCCAGTATTGCTCTTATGAGTGGAAAATTGCTAACAATAATTACTGGAATCTGGGGATTTTACATTGTTTTGGATACCTCCGTATTTTGCTTCTATTATAATGTGCATGTAGGGTGACATTAATGTTTACCTTACCTAAAAATGTATGAACCATTTTATAATGGTATTAAGATCATTTGCATGTTGGTTTACAGAATGTACAAATCTCATATGCCAAGAACAATACATATAAGCTGCCCTCCTTTGTAACAGTATTTCTCAGGGGAAAAAATGGAAAAATTAATCTAGTTTTGGCACTAGTCATTGTTCAATTTGGGATTTGGAATTTCAGCTGATAGCAGGAGAATTAAGATCCATTAAAATAGATGGTACATGGTTTATGATTGTGCCAAATTCTTGATTGAATAATGAGTTGGCTGCTTGTAATTCTTCACTGTCATTTCATAGCACTCCTTTTTTTTTTTTTATAGTATTTTCAGACTTTAACTGATTTTGAAATGAGAAACAGTATTTTGGATGAGTATCTTTTGGAAAGGAACATACTTGACCGTTCACAAATAGCAAAGTGGGCTCTGTGTCTATTTTCATTGCTGTTCTTACTGAAGGAAATAAATTAAACAAAACACACTGGCAGCAGAAGGATTTTACTAAGGTCTTTCATCTAATCTTTGTCCATGTGAGGAATTGTCCTCTTTCCATACTTCACTGTCTGTGAGGAGCTAGAAGGGAAGACTTAGTGGAAGATTAATGTGATTCTTTCTCATAAGTGGCAGTCCTTTACTCAGTAGATGGGTAAGTGATTTTCAGACTTTTTCAGAAAATAAATTTTCTACTGATAGCCTCTCCTGAGGGGGGAAGGATAATTTTTAAATCAGAATATCTATGGCAAACGTAATATTTTGTTCTTTTTTATTATTTGGAAAAAACAGTGATGTCTTTATAAGATTTAAAAGGAAAACTTAGTATTGAAACAAGTTCAAAAGCAATTTTTGAAGTTTGTTTTTTTATTTTGATGAAAACTTAGGATTTATGCTTTATGATATTGTTAGAAGAGTATTTATTATAATAAGAGAAACTGACTTTTTGTGATGGATTAGTACTCATTTCTCTGAAAACCATCTTCTTAGTACAACCTAGTTCTGAGAAATAGGTTTTTAGAATTACAGATTTAAAGGTAGCCTTTTCTCTCATTATCTTTTGACAAAGAATGGCTTTTGTAACCTGCCATCACTTTTAAACAATTTTAAATTGATAAACTGTGTGTGATTGTAGATCATAATTTGAGAAGTAGTTTAGGAATTGTTGCATTTTAAACTTAATTTGTCCTGGAAGGGTTCACAGAGTTAAGATTAACACTTAGCTTATAAAACACTTAAAACTTTTTTATATTCAACAGTAATTCTTGGGAGTATTTGTTACATATAGAAAATGGAATTGTCATTTTAAATCACTTTTTTCTGCATCATGATTTTCTCTCTCTGAACCAAAGAGAATAACCCTAGTCAAATGTTCAGTTAATTGTGATCCAGCAAACTGTACTCAGAACAAGTTATTTTACTTTCACTAAACTGAAAAAAGGTAAAATTAGGAGACTGCATGGCGTAAAGTCATGGCCTTACCCTTTAATATAAGTGGAGAGAAATATTTACTCTGTAATTTGTATTATTTTATTCTTTAAAACCAAGCAATACTTGTTAATATATATAGTTATTGTTATTAACCATATAAACTCTTAGCTGTAAGCTGGTATTTTATTGTGTGCCTTTTATGTGAGGGAATGTACTGATAACTTTATTGCTAACATAATGCAATGGATAGTATGCAAGTTAGATGTTCTTAATTTCTGACTTCTAGTAATTACTAAGGAAATGCACATTATGATAAATTCTCTGTGCATAAATTCTTACTTAGCTTCATACCTGGGGTTTAGTATCGAAGCATTTGCTTCGATGTAATATGAGATTAGTAGACTATATCCAATATAGTCTTTAAGGCTCAAGAATTTGGGCTGTTCTAGAATCTACAAAGAAAGTTTGATTTATTCCTTGAAAAGACAACCATTTTCATTTCAGAGATGATTCATTCATTCCTTAGCCCTTGGTACCAGAGATACAGGATTACAATTTAGTGCTTATACTTTTATAGTTTATTCTTTTCCTTTTTCTTTCTTTTTCTTTTCTTTTTCTTTTCTTTTCTTTTTTTTTTTTTGAGACAGAGTCTCACTATGTTGCCCTTAGTAGAGTGCTGTGGCGTCACAGCTCACAACAACCTCAAACTCTTGGGCTTAAGCGATTCTCTTGCCTCAGCCTCCCAAATAGCTGGAACTACAGGCACCTGCCACAACGCCCGGCTATTTTTTGTTGTGGTTGTCATTGTTGTTTAGCTGGCCCAGGCCGGGTTCAAACCTGCTAGCCTTGGTGTCTGTGACTGGCACCGTAATCACTGTGCTATGGGCGCCAAGCCATTATAGTTTAGTCTTAAGAAGTTAGGCAGTAGACATGCTGCAGACATTTGAAATGCAGTAGAACCTCTGTAAGTTGACCACCCAAGGGACTGTTAACAGACTGGTCAACGTATGGAGGTGGTCAGCCTCATAGGAAGTAAGCGTCAGTACATGGGATACATGTCTGGTCTAATAATTATGTCAGACCAGTGGTTATTTTTTACTTTTCAGGTTATAGTATACTTATGTAAATTCCTGGTTGTAATATTCCTAAAGGGAAGAAATTGCCAGCAATTTGACTTAGTCAGTCTTATACCCAAGAGGTCATTGGAGTTACTTATTTATTCACTGTTCAAGTAAAAAAAGATACTGATACTTATTAGTCCATAATGTGTTTCTCAAAACTTTTTAGATTGTTAAGCATAAAATATATTTAGGTAAAGTCAAATGAAATGAGAGATTCTGTTATTGAAAAGTTACATGTATCATACCTTAAGAAATCAGTTGTTTCGTCAACTCCAGTTTTAGTAAGCAGTTTCTATTAGAGTGTTCTTAAATTCTCTTAAAATTAAAATTGGTATAAGTATTTCCTTTCTTGGTAGTTCTGATCACCTACCAGCAGGGGTCACTTTAACTCAAGGACCCCTCCACTCCCCTCACTTTTTAAAAAAGTCTATGGAAAACTATCAGCCCAGCAGCATAATTAAATAACATGGGAATGAATTTAGAGCTCAGTTTCTCAGAATTTTTCTGTCTCTAACTTTTAAAAACAATCTTTTGAGTTTTTTTTTTTAATCATGCCAAATTAGTTTGAAGACAATGAAACTATAATCTAAGCTTGATGTGTAGTAACACAAATTGAATTTTTTTAAAGAATGGTAACATTATTTTGGTCTTTTGCTTATAGGACCTTCTATTTAATTAGTTGTATTAGTAACTTTAAATTATTTCAAACCCTTAGGAACTTTTTCTGTTCACTGTGCTTAGAATGATGTACAATGACTTACACATTATCAATTGCCAGGAGATCATAAAGCCATCTAGATGCCATTTTGAGATGCTTTATTTGTGAGAATTTATTTGTGACAACAGTTGCAAAACTATTTACTGACTTCTTAAAAATATGACATATTGAAATATGAAACTTTAAAGCTGTTGGTTTAATTTTTTAAAAAATTAAAAACTAATATCTAAAATACGTAAACTTTCTATAACTTCTTGTTTTGGAATAGTATTATATTTGTTATCATTTACTATGCCTCCTTAATCTAAATAGGAATAGTGGTTTAACAAGTTTATGTGACTCAGCCGTCAAGTTAAAATCACTTTCAATATAATTCACAATTAGCCATTATAGGATATAGCAGTTGCCATGAAGCTTTCTTACCTATTTGTCTAGCTTTTTAGTTTGAAGATTTTAAGCATACAGAGAAATTTGAAATACTAGTACAATGATCACTATGTATCTACTTTGTATATTCCACAATTGTTAACTTTCTGCTCTATTCATTGTATGTATATATGTTTTCTGTACCATTTGAAAATTAGGTTGTAGATATCATGACACTTGACCTCTAGATATTTTAGCAACATCTCCTAAAAATAGTTGAAGGATGTTGTTCTTTATAGCCACATGGCCATTATAATGTCCAAGAAAATCAGCAGTAATTTCTTAATGCTATCTAATATTCATTCTATAATGGGATTATCCCAGTTGTCTCCCAAATATGGGTAATGTTTATAAGCCAAGATTTAATCAAGGCCCACATAGTTTATTTTAGTTGTTTTAGCAATTAAATATGAGTAGAAATTTACATTTCTTCTTGTTTTCTGATGTTGATTGTTTTTATTAGTAACACCTGCAATTGATAAAGATGAAGTAGAATCTGACAGTAGGAGATGAAATTTATAAGTTGTTATAAATTGTTGTTAGTAGGAACTTAAACAATTTTTTAAATGATAGAATGGCTCTGAATTCTCTCACATTTTACTGGTGTGCTTAAGCCAAAACAAAAATATGTATGTTATGTGTATATTCTGTTTATTCTGTGAAGCAAGAACACTTGGTCAATCAGGCTTTGTATATTTTATTAAAATGTTTCCATTTTATGAAAAACATTTCAGATTTGTAAATGTGAAGAAAATTGATTTTCCTTTTGTAGTTTGGAAGCTAGTAACGTCTTTAGAAGTATTAACCCAACTACAAAGATACCTTTATACCAAGATTTGAAGTTATTCAGGTGATAAATTTTTATTTTTAAACTACTACACATATAATAACAGAAATAGCGAATAAGATAGTTTTAATGTAATTTTTGTTTCAAGTATGACTTTAAAGCTGTGTGTGTGTGTGTCTTAATGATTTTTTTGAGGAGGCCGTGTGGTGTACTTGAAACAGTGCTCATTTAACAGGATATATTGGTCTTACGTCTACTTTTAAGTTATCTAACCCTGGGCAAGTCTTTTAACTTCTCTGATTCTTGTGTCCTCATCTGTATGTAAATGGGGTTAATAGCAGTTCTGCTACCCTAGCAATGCTGTTTTTTCAAGACCTATGAAAGCAGCTTAGAAACCACAGGATTGGCCAGGTATGGTGGCTCACAGCTGTAATCCTAGCGCTTTGGGAGGCTGATGCCATTGGGTTGCTTAATCTCAGGTTTGGAGACCAGCCCCAACATGAATGAGACCCCTTCTCTTAAAAATAGGAAAATCAGCTAGGCATCGTGGCGGGTGCTTATAATCCCAGCTAGCTACTCAAGAGGCTGAGGTGGGACGATCACTTGAGCCCAGGAGTTTGAGGAGTTTGAGGTTGCCATGTTTTGATGATGCCATGTCACTCTACCCAGGTTGGCAGAATGAGACTTTGTTTCAAAAAAAAAAAAATAGAAACCACAAATTCTTTCAAGTGTAAGATAGTAGGTTATTATTATGAGATGTATATATATGTATATATATATAATTAATACTGTTTATTTGGACTTGGCAGTATTTTTTATAATATAGATTGTTTCATTTTAGTATCAATAGTGAATAAATTGTCTTCAAAACAGAACCTAGTTATTTTATTCAGTGAAATTAAATGTGTGCTGTGTTTTTGTAAAAATTGAATATTTATTCATTTAAAAGCAAATAGTAGCCAAAATGTTATAATGCACAGTTAAGATGTGTATTAAGTTTTATTCTTTTGAATGAGTCTCAGAAATTTGTTGTAAAATGAATTTTATTAATATTATTTCTCAAAAGATAAATGTTTAAAATGTTTATGGCATTTGTCATAATTTTGTTCTTTGAAAGCAACTTCTTGGTAGTTTAGCCATGTTAAAAATCTGCGTAGAAAATGCAGATCCCGTTTGGAGTACAATTCAACTCATTTTAATCCTGTGGAGATAATTATAGATAACTCAAACCTTATTGGTGTTTGTAGTATTTTGTCATCACAAAATTAATATGAATATCTGCTATTCTCAGTTTTCTTTCATTGCAGCTTTTAGTTTGAGCCTAGACAAATATAACATTGGCAGAGTTTTGGATATTTTAGATACGTTATTTAATATTTTAAAGTTTCATTGCTATTTTCACATAAGTAACCTTGAAAGACCGTAGAAATCTGGATACTGGATAGTTTTTCTATTTAAAATGGATTATGAAAAGGGATTAAAAACTAGGAACAATTTCTAAAGTTGTCTGTGAAGACATGACAACTAATTTTTTAAATTTCTTTGGCACATAAAAATTTCTACCACCATCTTTCTTATTTTAAAACTATATAAGAATCAGATGACACAATATAGTTCATAAATGGCATTAATACTTGAGGTACTGATTTTAATCCAAAAAATGTCTACTTTCTTATAAAGTCATCCACTTGGGGGCCTGGTATTTCCTTTAGGATATTCCGATAAGTCTTTGCTAGGCATTAAGCAAATTTCTTGCAGGTAAATTAAAGATCTGGTAACTTTTGTATTTAGGCCTATGTTACGTATATAGATTTCTCCTCTGTGAATATTTTATAGAAGTGACTGATGTTTCATGTATCTTTATAGTTTTATGTAAACTATAGGAACTAAGCTCTTGCTCTCTTTAAAACAGAAAGATAATATTCATATTCCATTGTCTAGCTTCTTGTATTAAATTTGTATCACATCTTTTTCACAGAGATGTGCTCCTGCATCTATTCGCCTCATGGACAACAAACAGTTTCAGTTTGGTAAGTAAAGAATGGTAAGCTTAAAATCTGTTCATTTAGCCACAGAAATTAATGAAATGTTAGTAGGAAGAATACTGAGTAGAGAACTAGAAAGAATGTTGTAATTCCCATGCTGGATAGCGTGGGTTGCAGGAGAAGGAGTGCTTGATTGTACTTGATTTTGCTTGAGGTGGGGATGCAGAGTCGGGAAGTGTTTTTAAGGAGAGTGATGCTTGAGCTCAATCTTCAAAAGTGAATAAAGATTTGCCTGACTTTGTCTCTTCTTCTCCCCTACGAAAATTTGTTATTTGTGAGCAAAAAATAGAAAGTTGTGAAATCTTACTAGTATATTTTAGAAAACTCCAAATAGTTTTATGTCACTCAAATAGAGGTTCTGGTTAAGGTTATTACACGAGATGAAGTTGAATGGGTGGACTAGGGCTTTGTAGAATAGGTTTGGATTTTATCTTGACAGCAATGGGATTTCTTTGTGGAAGGAATAAAATCAATCAGCTTCACATCTTAGAAAACTGATTGTGGCATTATTGTTCAGGATAGATTATGAGGGTACAGGCATGAAGGAGGGACAGTGTGAAGTGAAACAGGCAAATTTTTAGAGGACTTGAGCAAGGCAGTAGCAATGGAGATGAAGAATAGCCGATACAGTTTTTAAAAATCAATTTGCCAACTGGATATGGAAGTTTAAATAAAGGGAAGAGTTGAGGGTAACTCCCATATTTTGATTTGATTGACTGGATGAAATAAATAACGATATAGAAGACAAGGTGGAGATTTTGAGGGAAAAGATATTATATAGGTTGTACTTAAGGTGCCGTGGAGATATTCAGGTGGAGATTCGGTAGGCATTGTCTGAAAACATTTTTCTTTTCCTTCCTATTTTGTTTAAAGTATTAAACTTTCTGATGTAACTTTGTTTTATTTTTCTATAGTTTTTTCAAATTCTGAAATTTAGTTTGGGATTTAAGTTTATAGAATGGAATAAATACCCTCAAAACATTTCCTGAAATTATAGGAGTGATTTCTCAGTAATGAATACTAAAGGGGAAGATAGGCAGGCTTTTGTGTGTCATATCTAAAAGTAGCTTACATTTTAATTTAAGGAAACATTATAGTTATAGTGAAACTTAACAGAAGTGTTAACATATCAAGAGCTAATTTTTAAGTTAGAGTCTTCTAAGTCAGTCAAAATCATTTATTTCTTTAAGTAAATTGCTTTCAAAACATGATACTACTGATGAACAAAAGTTTAAGATAAATGTGTCATATAAACACATTAAATGAAATAGTTAAATGAAAATCCACCCCCCACGCCCCTTTATCTCCCCACCCCTCCGTGGCTTGCATTTAGCTTTGGATCTTAAGGAGAGCTGTGTAATTAATGAGATTATATTATCCATATATGTTTTATTGTAGCAAATTATGC